TCGAAGACTGAGTGACCTCCTAAGGATACCCATGCACTCCGAATCCGTTGGTGAGATCCATTTTGCTCTCCGAATTCATACGGATTTAACCATAACCATGAGTGGATTTGCCCCCAAACGGATTTTCCCGTGTGTTTTACCAGGAAATGCCAAATAACGCAGGTTAGAGAAGTCAGCACCCTGCTAAGCATAACCACGAGCTCCGAATCCGTTGGCGAAGTCCATTTTACTGTCCGAATTCATGGGACATAACCCTAACCCCAAGTGGATTTGTCCCCTAATGGGATTTTCCCATGTATTTTTACCAGGAAAGGCAGATAAGGTAGGCTAGATATCAGCGCCCTCCTAAGCATATCCATGTGCTCCAAATCCGTTGCTGAGGTCCATTTTACTGTCCAAATTCATTAGGATATAACCCTAAACCCTAAGTAGATTTTTTCCCCCAATGGGATTTTCCCATGTATTTTACCAGGAAATGTAGTTAAGACAGGCTCAAAAAGTCAGCACGTTCTTAAGCATACCCATGCACTCCGAATCCATTGGTGAGGTCAGTTTTCCTATCTGAACTCAAGGGGATATAATCCTAAGCCTAAGTGGGTTTTCCTGCCAATGGGATTTTCCCATGTATTTCACCAAGCAACATACAAAGGCAACTAAAAAGAAATGCACACTCCTAACCATTGCCATGCACGCGAAATCCATTGGTGGTGTCCATTTTCCCTTACAAATTTATGAAGACGTAACCGTAACCCTAAATGGGTTTTCCCGCCAATGTGATTTTTCCATGTATTTCACCATGAAACATAGATAAGGCAGGCATAAAAGAAATGCACTCTCCTAACTATTGCCATGCGCTCCGAATCTATTGGTGATGTCCATTTCACTCAATGAATTCACAGAAACCTAACCCTAAACCTAAATGGGTTTTCCCGTCAATGCGATTTTCCCATGTATTTCACCAGGAAATGTAGATAAGGCATGGTTCGAAAGTGTGCACTCCCCTAAACATACTGATGTGGTCCGAATCCATTGGTAGTGTCTATTTTGCTCTACGAATTCAAGGAGACCTATCCCTACCCTAAGTGTATTTTCCCAACAATGGGATTTTTCCATGTATTTCACCAGGAAAGGTAGATAAAGCAGGGTCAGAAAACATGCACCCCCCCAAACATTCTCGTGTGCTCCGAATCCATTGGTGGTGTCCATTTAGCTCTATGAATTCACAGAGACCTAACCCAAACCCTAAGTGGGTTTTCCCGCCAATGACATTTTCCCTTTTATTTCACCAGGAAACGTATATATGGCACGCTAAAAAAAATGCACGCTCCTAACCTTTTCCATGCGCTCCAAATCCATTGATGGTTTCAAGGAGACCTAACCCTAATCCTTAGTGGGTTTTCCCACCAATGCGATTTTTCTATGTATTTCACCAGGAAACGTAGACAAGTCAGGCTAAAAAGAAAGGCACATTCCTAAGCATTGCCTTGCACTCCAAATCCATTGGTAATGTCCATTTAGATCTATGAATTCACAGAGACCTTACCCAAACCCTAAGTGGGTTTTCCCACCAATGGGATTTCCCCTTCTATTTCACCAGGAAACATAGATAAGGCTGACATTAAAGAGATGCACTCTCCTATCCATTCCCTTGGGCTCTGAATCCGTTGGCGGTATCCATTTCACTATATGAACTCACTGAGAGGTAACCCTAACCCTGAGTGAGTTTTCCCACCAAAGGATTTACCCATGTATTTCACCAGGAAATATAGATAAGTCAGGCTAAAAAGAAATGCACTCTCCTAACCATTGCCCTGTGCTCTTTTATGTCAGCCTTATCTATGTTTCCTGGTGAAATACATGGGAAAATCCCATTGGCGGGAAAACCCACTTAGGGGTAGGTTTCCGTAAATTCGTAGAGCGAAATGGATATCACCAATGGATTCGGAGTGCATGATAATGGTTAGGAGTGTGAATTTCTTTTTAGTCTGTCTCATCTATATGTCCAGGTGAAATACATGGGAAAATACCATTGGCGGGAAAACCTAGTTAGGGTTAGGGTTAGGTTACCATAAATTCGTAGAGGAAAATGGACATCACCAATGGATTCGGAGCACATGGCAATGGTTAGGAGCGTACATTTCTTTTTAGCCTGCCTTATCTACATTTCCTAGTGAAATACATGGGAAAATCCCATTGGCGGGAAAACCCACTTAGGGTTAGGGTTAGGTTAACATAAATTCATAGAGCGAAGTGGACATTATTAATGGATTTGGAGCTCATGGCAATGGTTAGGAGCGTACATTTCTTTTTAGCCTGCTTTATCTACATTTCCTGGGGAAATACATGGGAAAATCCCTTTGGCGGAAAAACCCACTTAGGGTTAGGTTTCCGTAAATTCGTATATATATATATAAAATAAAGGTAATAAAGGATATATGCAGTGTTATCTTCATTTTAGATATCGAAAGGATTTTGCAACTCCCAGTGTTTTGTTTTCGGTGGGAAATGGGTCCAAGTGGCTCTTTGAGTGTTTTGGGTTGCCTACCCATGGGTTGGGGTTAGGTTTCCATAAATTCGTAGAGCAAAATGGACATCAACAATGGATTCCGAGTGCATGACAATGGTTAGGACCGTGTATTTTTTTTTAGCCTGCCTTATCTACATTTCCAGGTGAAATACATGGGAAAATCCCATTGGCGGGAAAACCCACTAAGGGTTAGAGTTTAGGTTTCGGTAAATTCATAGAATGAAACAGATTCAGAGCCCATCACAATAGCTGGCAGGGTGCATTTCTTTTTAGCCTGCCTTATCTACATTTCCAGGTGAAATACATGGGAAAATCCCATTGGTGGGAAAACCCACTTAGGGTTAGGGTTAGGTTTCCGTAAATTTGTAGAGCGAAATGGACATCACCAATGGATTCGGAGTGCATGGCAATAGTTAGGAGCGTGCATTTCTTTTTACCCTTTTTTAAAAACCTTCCTTATCTACGTTTCCTGGTGAAATACATGGGAAAATCCCATTGGCAGGAAAATCCACTTACTGTTAGGGTTACGTGTCCTTGAATTCATAGAGTGAAATGGAGACCACCAATGGATTTGGAATGCATGAGTATGTATAGATATGTGCTGAGTTTTCGAACTTGCCTTATCTACATTTCTTGGTAAGATACATGGATGAACTCTCCTATTTTCAGTTTTTTGGAAAAACTTCATCTTTACTTCTTAATGAGAATATCCTGTCTCTTTTTGTCTCATTATCTTTATTCCTATTTGTAAATGTGATACTGTAGGCCAGCTGATACATTTCCTACTCATCTTTGCTATACTCAACAAAGAATGACTGAAAGGTGAAGTAAAAATAAATTCTGTTGTATAGAACTTCCATAGAAACAATCAGTCCTCTGTGACATGACAAACCCAATTTATCAACTCAGACAATTTTGCTAAAGTCAACAAGTGAGTGCAGTAAATTAACATCTATATAGACCTTGCAGATAATTGAGACTTGTTATACAGTAGTTCTAGCTTTCAGCCTGTGTACAACCTCTAGCTTTATGCTTTGCTCTATATTTATTCCAGCCAACTCCTGAATCATAGCTTTGAATATCCTTTTGGACAGGTGAACGCTGATCAAATTGTATGCCCATAATCCTTTTATTGATTCATTATCTGAGTCAATAAAAGTTACCACTGGTATTCTTTTTTCCCCTTTCTTCTAATATATTGGCACTGACCTTTTATTTAAAAAAATAGGTGGAAAGAAGACAAAACTGAATATGGTACATGGAATTTAATCTAACTGTAATTTAGAAGCCAGAAATAGATTTGTAGTGTTGAAATAGATTTGTAGTGTTGTTTGCTCGTTATTTTCAAATATGGTAATACAAATTGCCCAAGCAGTTTACTCTGGGTACAAAATAGTGTTTGGATCCTTTAAGCAAAATGATCATGGCCTCTGTTTTGGAGGGCTAGTTTTGCATTAAATTTTTAAAAAGTTTCTTGCTTTGGCATGAAAGGTTTCTCTGTGGAAAAAAAAGGACATGAATGGCTGATTCCTAAAGTCAGCATTGTATTCCCTATACCAACCTAGTCTCTTTTTTTTTTTTTACAATTTTTAATAGCTTCTAATATCACCTAGAAGATGCTAAATACATCTACTAGCAGAAGATACAGAAGCATTCCTCATAAGTATGTAAGGGAAGGATTTGATAGATGGAAAAACATGCCAAATTCAGTCTGAACATCTGGTTGACTATGCAACAAACCATAATAATACATTCATATGCCACCCAACTCCCAATGATTCTGAGCAGTTAATAATAATAATAATAATAATAATAATAATAATAATAATAATAATAATAATAATAAATAAATAAATAAATAAATAAATAAATAAATAAATAAATAAATAAATAAATAAATAAATAAATAAATAAATAAATAATGATATAATGGCTGGAAGCATTTATGTGCACCATTTACACTTTATGTTCCTATAGAAAATTCTTTAAAAATTTACAAGTTAAAGCTACAATTAAACATCAAATCAACACACTATAAAAATTAATAGCCATGAAGTGAATACAAAGCTACCTCCTAGTCTCCAAATAGTTTGGAACAGGGGAAAGAGAAATTATTTAACATATTGGTGAGATAAAAATATGAGAAACATTTGCTCTTAAACAGACATGACCAGAATACCAGTTCCAAACTGGTAGAGAAGAATGGCCTCATCACATCAAAATAGAACAATGCAATCTAGCTTTAACTTGAAAAATAGATTGAAAATGATTTGATGCAGCAAAAATGCTTTGGAGATGTTACTAGTATTACTGGCGTACTAAATATTAAATTGGTTTAAATAATTAGCAGCAACTTGTAAAGTATACCATATGTGAGCTATTGGAAAGTAAAAGCTATTTTTATTTAAAACAAGAAAACTGGGTACACATACATATATAACATTTCAGCTGGATATTTAGCATAAATGGCATGTTATTCTCCATGGTCCCACTTGATTCCATCTAGATAAATTTCTCCAGGAGGCCTCTTGGGTGCACATTTCCATAGACACCAGAGTCCTGCTAATATGAGATGAAAAAGAAGAACCAGGCCTAAGATGATGAAGCAGAAAAAGCTGTCCAAAGTGCTAGAAATAGGTTTGAGATGTGGTGATTCGTCATCGGTTCCACAGTCTGTTGGTCAAAAGAGAAAAAGGTACCAGGTGAATTTGTGGTTGGCCAAGTCAAAAACAAAGAAGCAGAATTTGAAATCCAGTCAAAAGTTACTCAAAGTATTTTGAATTATCATGAGAGAATATACCACTGCTACTTGTTGAACAGGATTAAAACACATGTTACATATATTTCATTACACTGTATGTCATTTCTAATATTTAGATCTGAAAGCTAAGACATTTGGGTCCGATGAACAAAAATAAAAGAATAGTGGGTTTTGTAAAATTCTTGGTGTAGGAGTTATCCACTTGGTGAGATTTCTTTTGTTTGCTGTTTCTTGTTAGGGTGACTCTCCCACTTATTTTGAAGTTTAAGGAATACAGTATTCTGGCTGGGAACAAGCTGCTATAGTCACTATCTTTACATTTACTGATGCACCCTGCCTTGTATCATCATAGCGAAGTCTGAGGAAAAGGAATGGACTATCTACCTCTATTGGTGCCCTATTATTCCAACTACAGCTTCACGGCTTAATTTGAAAGCACCAAATATTAAAACAATTGATTCTTAGTTTAAATAATTAAAATAGCCTAAAAAAACTTGGTAACTTTCAGGTTTTAAAAAGTCTTTTGATGGTAGACTAATCTCCTACGGGTTTTCATTACAGCCAAGATTTGTGTCATTATGCTGAAGTTTCCTCATCCCCTTATTTATGAAATGTTACAGTTTTTCCCCCTTGTATATTGTATTTACTTGCCTTTTGTCTCAGGATCCTTTGCCTCTTCTAACTGGAAGTTTGATGCAGCAAACTTCTTTTTTGCTTTAAATCCATAATTCAAACAAAGATTTGCATTACCCGTGACCAGCTTCTGCACCAAGATAGTTTCAGTTGTGCTAAGGAATAGTAATATGAGAAGGCCAGTGTAGTAATAACCTAAGACGTTATTGGAAGAAGGAAGAAGTTAAAGGCATTATTGATGGGTCCTCTCAGCCTTTGCTTTATGTTAGGTTAGTATCAATATATAAATTCAGATTAGGATGAATGTTAGGGTTAAGGTAAGGGTTCCTTGAGATCTATACTACAGTTAAGTGTGGTGAACAGTAAGAGTTATTTATTTATGAAATTTGTTTGCCGTTCATCTCACTGCAAGGTGACTCTGGACAGCTTATTACAACATCAAAATAAAACCATAAATATCTATATACAAATGTGTATAATCACGGTAAAATCATAATAAAATACAAATTATAAGTAAAATTAAAGAATGGTGAGGAAAGGAGCAGAATGTACAGGGGGAGGAGGTGGGAATGGTATTAGTTGATCAACCATCTCCAGTGTGATACTTCCCCATTGGGGCCCCAATCCAATTGACAGGGCGAGGTCTTCAGGCTCTTGCAGAAGATCAGGAGGGTGGGAGACAATCTCACTTCAGAGGGCAAGATGTTCCAAAGGGCCAGGACCACAGCAGAGAAAGTTCTTCTCCTGGACCCCACCAGTTGGAATTCTTTGACTGACAGGATCCTCAGCATGGGGGTGTGTGGGGCAGGCCTGTCCCATAGGGGTGAGATGGTTCCTCAAATAACCTTGACCCTTGCCATGCAGGGCTTTATAGATAATAATAACTTGACTTGCACCTAGAAGCAAACCAACAGCCAGTGCAGCTGGCAGAACAGGGATATAACATGAGCCATTCTAGGGATCCCAAAGACTGCCCAGGCTGCCACATTCTGCACCAATTGAAGCTTCTCAAGGGCAGCCCCATGGCAAGCACATTGCAGTAGTCCGAGCAGGAGATGACCAGGACTTGAATCACTCCTGAAACTCCTGATACAGGAAAGGCTATAAGTGTCACACAACCCAAAGCTGTGCAAAAGCTCTTCTAGCTGAGACTGCCACCTGCTCTTCAAAGCAGGAGTTTCCCCCAAGTTGCACACCACATTTGTCTGGGGTAGTGACATCCCTTCCAGAACTGAAGATGTCAAAATCCTGGATCTTGACGCTCCATGCACCCATGGCCATTTAGTCTTCCAAGGGTTCAACTGAAGCCTGTTATCCCCAACCCAGGCTCCCACAGCCTCCAGGCATTGTGAGAGGGCAAACGACAGCAACATTTGGCTCACCGGGGATGGAGATAAAAGTTGAATATCATCTGCATACTGATGATACCTCAACCCATGGGGATAGATGATGTCACCCAGCAGCTTCGTGTAGATGTTAAAAAGGAGTGGAGAGAGTACCAATCCCTGTAGCACACCACAGAAAAACGGTCATGGGCTGGGTCTCTTGCTCCCTATTAACACCGATTGGGACCGGCCTTGGATAAAAGAGTCGCAACAGTGCAGGCTGTGCAGCCCAGCCCCAGACCCCACAGTGGGCCAAAAGGATATCATGGTGAACAGTATCGAAGGCTGCTGAGAGGTCAAGGAGAGCAAGGATGATTGCACTGCTTGCATTCTCCTATCGCCAGAAATCTTCAACAAGCGCGAGCAATGCCGTTTCCATCCCATAACCGGGCCTGAATCCTGACTGAAAGGGATCCAGATAATCCATTTCATCCAGGCCCTCCTGAAGCTGCCAAGCAACCACCTTTTTATTACCTTCCCTAAAAAGGTGTTGCTGTTATCATTAATCTTATCTTTAGATGAATCTTTATATTTTCTGGATGTTATTTTAATCTAATTAGATAATTAGATAAAGTGGACAAAACTTTCCATTTGACATATTTGAGTGGATGGTTTTGGCTTGTTACTTGACATCTTTTTTGCTCCTACAACTTACTGAGCAGAGGATTACAGGAAGATGATTCTGGTAGGAAACCAATGAAAGAAGAATAGAAGACTAGATATGCCAGAAGCAAAGTGATCATGTATGACAATCTGTCTTGGAGACGGATGTAGAAGCCACAGAGACACGCTATCTCAACTGCAAGGCTTGGCAATACTGAGGAAAGAAAGACTCGCATTCCTGTATTTTTTAGATTTATCTGAAAAAGAAGCCAGACTCAGGGTAAAAGGAAGAAATAATTCAATTACACCAAAAGTTCATTTGTTGGGCATCGATAAAGCACAGTGCTAAGCCTAAATGTGCTTTGTTTGCTTTGGTTAAACACAGTGTGCGGATTCAGCCACTATGGTTGTAAATCATGGATTATGGTTTTGTATGAAATGAACCCACCCAACTATAGTGTTTCTATTTTTATGAGGTTGGGAGGGAGGGAGACTCCCAAGAAATATTCCCATTGTTATTATCCATTTCAAAGGCAGGTAGAACCTCTATATGCATCATCAGTCCAATCAGCTAGAAAAAAAGACCCTAACTGAGATGCTACCAAGATACTTTAAAAAAATTACAATGTAAGTGATATTCTTACCATGACCACAAAATAAGGCTGTGCCATATTTCTTTGGCTTGTAATGTTCACATTTGTGATGAGATATTCACGCTTTAAATTCAGAATTGCATTTACAATGGAGGTGCTGAATTCCAGCTCACTGACTTGAAAGAATAATTTAAAAGAATTTGAAGAAATCACAATCTTATTCATCATAAGTAAAAAGCTGATACAGTATCTACTAAATCAGTGGTCTGCAACTTTGACAACTTTAAGACTTGTGGACTTCAGCTCCCAGAATTCCTCAGCCAGCATATGCTGGCTGATGAATTCTGGGAGCTGAAGTCCACAAGTCTTAAAGTTGTCAAGGTTGCAGACCCCTGTACTAAGTCAAACTAAATGTATGAGTCAACCATATTAGAAGCCATCTGCGAAAAGAAATGCCATAGAGGAGAAAAGGCCCCAGTGAAGTTAGAATAAGTGGTTATCTTTTAGAAGAGAAGAGTTACTACTACTAGGTACTTAGACTTGGAATTACTACAGCTTAGCAACCAAAGTCTGGTGCCAACTTCTTCCTTAAAAGTTCTCTCTGATGCCTTTTTTTGTCTGGTTTTTTCTTTCTTTCATTAAGAACAGATATATAGATGAGCTGAGCAAGTTCCAAATATTATAGGTGGAACAATTCAACTCTTTCTAGCTATTTTCTTGCCTGAATACAGGTAGTCCTCAACTTACGACCACAATTGAGCCCAGAATTTATGTTGCTAAGTGAGAAATTTGTTAAGTGCGTTTCGGCCCATTTTACAACTTTTCTTGCCACATTTGTTAAGTGAATCACTCCAGTTGTTAAATTAGTAGCACAGTTGTTAAGCAAATCTGGCTTCCCCATTGACTTTGTTTATCAGAAAGTCACAAAAGGGGATCGCATGACCCTGGGACACTGCAGCCGTCATAAATATGAATCGGTTGACAAGCAGCTGAATTTTGATCACGTGATCCTAGGGGTGCTGAAATGGTCATAAGTGTGAAAAACGGTCATAAGTCACTTTTTTCAGTGCCGTTGTAACTTCAAACAATTGCTAAACAAACTGTTGTAAGTCGAGGACTACCTGTATAAACCTTGTGCTCAATATCCTGTCAGTGGAGATTGTGCATAAACAGATAATATGAACTGGACATTTTGTACAGCAGCTCCATGTAATGATGTTGACAGTGTGGCTAAGTGTCAGATGGTTTTCATTCACTGGCTTACATATTCAGATTTTTGCATAAATAAATATTACTTTAACATTGCTTATTAAACTTATACACTTTAATGTGGAAACTGTGCAAATTGACTGATGAATGTTTATCATCCCCTGTTTTTATACTCAGTGGCAATTGGCAATATTAAGCAGGTTATATCATGAATAATCCTATCAATGTTATCCATAGGGGTACATTGGGCCTTCATAACCAGCCATATCGCGTTCACCTAAATCAACAACCATCATCCCTAAAAGCTTTAATTACAACGATGTGCAGTGCCAGCAGAAATAAAACATGCAGTTTGCAAAGGACCTTGCTAAATATATCCAAAATTAATTTAAGAAGAGACCATTCAACTTGAGGTTTGAATGGAATTCTGTACAGTGCATGACAACCAATTTCCTTATGTTATTTATGTATGAAGACTTTTGCCTACCTTTGCTGTTCAGTGAGAAAAAGCTCAAAAAGCACTGGCTGCTATCTAATGGGTAATAGAAGAGGTCAAAGTTGCAGTTGCTGTCAATGCGAAGAGCAAGTTGAAATTCTGTTTTCCCATCACTGTGAAGTATCACATTAGGGGATTCCTCTCTCCATGTTATATCAAACCTTTAATTAAAGAAACATGACAGCAGCAAAAGCTAATGTTGCTTTTCACAATTTTGTGGTCCTCTAAAATGTTAAGAAACATTTTTTTCACTTTCAAATGAGAAAATGTGCACTTATTTTCTCATTAAAATTCTCAAACTTCCATTGTTCATTACAGAAAGGTTGGGAGTATGTGACTTATAGAAACCAGTTTGCTCTAGTGATTAGGGTACCAGACTAGAAATCTGGAGACCAGGAGTTCTAATCCTGCCTTAGTAGTAACTGTGAGAGGGACCTCGGAGTCCTAGTGGACAATCACCTAAATATGAGCCAGCAGTGTACTGCAGCTGCCAAAAAGGCCAACACAGTGCTAGGCTGCATTAACAGAGGGATAGAATCAAGATCACGTGAAGTGTTAATACCACTTTACAATGCCTTGGTAAGGCCACACTTGGAATACTGCATCCAGTTTNGAGAAACTTCCTGACAGTGAGAACAATTAACCAGTGGAACAACCTGCCTCCAGAAGCGGTGAATGCTCCAACACTGGAAGTTTTTAAGAAGAGACTGGACAGCCATTTGTCCGAAATGGTATAGGGTTTCCTGCCTGAGCAGGGGGTTGGACTAGATGACCTTCAAGGTCCCTTCCAACTTTACTATTATTATTATATTCTCTCCTAGCCCAACCAACTTCACAGGATTGTTGCTGTGGGGAAAATAGGAAAAGGAAGGATTATTTTGTGTGTTCATTGCCTTGAGTGATTTATAAAAATAATAAAGACAGGATATAAATAAATAAAATGAAGATCATTTGTACTTTGCCTGTTCTGGCTGATTCTAATACTGAAATCATTGGGAAATCCTAGGGGTAAGCCAAACTGGACAGTTGAAAAAATATAATGAAATAAACCAATGGCAATCTACAGATAGTCCTCAGGTTACAACAGCAGTTGGGACCAGAAACTCTATTGTTAAGCAAAGAGGTCATAAATTGCAGCATTGTGTGACTGTGCCACTTAGATATGGTTATTAAATAAGGATCACATGAGTCATTAAACAAAGAACTCAAATGATCATGACTTATGACTTCCTACCAGCTTCCCCATTGCTTGTGGGAACCTGGCAGGAAACATCAGAAATCTCAAGCAGATGACTGCAGGGACACTACAATGTCCAGAACTCTGAGAAGCCATCATAAGTCCCCCTTGTTCAGCACTGTTATAAAACTGAATCGTCTCTGAACAATTGGTCATAATCTGAGGACTACTTCTACCTTTGTGTTGCTTGCCAGAAAATTATACCCCCTGAATGTATCTGAAGATTCTATGTAACTGAAAGGAGGGTATATTGGTACTGGAATAAGCTCTAAGGTAATTTGGTCATAGCCTGCTCTGTGCATGTTATGTATTTCTCTGCCAAGAATAGTTACAAAGAATTACAAGTTATTTAAATCTTGCATAATCCACTGTTATTTTGAAAAGGGGGAAGCTGTGTTAGTAGGAATTGATACAGAGTGCCTTTCTGATCCAGAGGCATCCCACAGGGCTGTTCAAAATCTTCTTAATACATTTTAATCCTGACAGAGACCTATATAGGAAGCACCATCCTTTATTGCAAATGACAGCTGAGTGGTAATATTGAATAGATTCCTGATTTTAGTCTTCAGGAAACATGTGCCAGATTTGTGCCACTATAGTTGTGTTTTCCTTTATGAGCCATATATGGAGTTTCATGCAATGGAGTCTACTGGCAGATTCAAATGTGAGCTAGATTTAGTCCCAACTAAATCTAACATTCGGTTTTAATAAAGTATAATAAAAATGATTGTGCTCATTACTCTTAGTTTTGCAAATACACTCTAAAGTCCTTTCTTCCCTACACTTAGTTTATTTATTTTGTCTCTCAATGACTCTTGTAAATATGCATTAAAAGTTAGGAGAGAAAGTGAGGATGTATAATATCCTATCCAAATATAAAGGTGAGACTGGATTGGATGAGGTCAACTTTACTAAAACTTTAGACACATGGTTCTTGTGATCAAATGCTTACTATTAGCTGCAGTACCATCAACTGGCTCTTTTACAGGTAGAGTGTTGAAATAGATGTGTCTCATGTCTAAGTCATCCTACTACAGTATATTATTCCAATGTGTCTTATTATGGACACTGTTATTTTAATGCTACTTACGCTTCTTGAACTGTATAGGATGGAGTCCAGACTGAATTCCAAGGCACAGTTATGGTGCTGAAGGGGAATTCCTGCTCATCCCAAGCCAGCCTTTCATTATACCATGACTGAAAGATACATTAAGATAAAATGTTAGTCTTCATTCTCACATTTCCCATTCCCAGCATTGATGATGTTAAAATTTAAGCCTTTTCCAGCTTGGCCACCCTGCAGACATTAGGAAAATGACTTTGTAGCCATTATGTTGAAGTTAGGCCCATGATTAGGATTAAGGTTGAAGGTACGAATGGGAATTAATTTGCATGGGCAATGGGCGCTCCCTTTTCATATTTTAGTAGTTAGCAATGGGTGATGGATGAACAGCCATGGACAATCTTTTCATGGGTGTTAGGATGAAGTTAATGTTAAGAGAAGAAAAAGTTGAGCAGAAGTCTAAATGCATGATAGATATTGCCTAAGAATTTTAGGCAAGCTCAGTTGCCATGGTTACTTCTCCCATTTCCCACGGCTAGTGATTTGTGGACCTAAACTCTGTAATGAATTTTTTGCCCATTTTCTCTGCCCAAAATACAGCTCCCAGAATATCCCAGGGGAAAATAATTTATTATTGAGCCAATTTGTTTTCAGTATACTCTGAAGAAGGAAAGTCACCAGAATTGTTAATACAGTATTAACCTTGTGAACTCTAAAGCTTCCTCCTTCTGTTATATATTCAAGATGGACAGTGATTAATATGTATATGTTACTTATATGTAAAGATGTAGGTCTATACATATGTTGTATATAGTATGTTTAAATGTGTGTTATGTATGAGTACACTTTGACAGCAAGCAACTAAATTTCATTTTTAATGTGTGCCATTGTGCCCACAGTAACAAATGACAATAAAGGTTATCTACACAAGCTGTTTGAAGATGAGATTTTTAAGAAAGTTGACTATCTGACAATTAGATAGGAATGAATTCACCTAGAAATGGATGCTGGAAAAAAATGCATGGAGTGCACCAAAAATAAATAAATAATTTTTAAAAACCATTTAATTCACATTTTCCAGGCTACACTGTCCAGACTACCTAAATCAGAATGTAGTTACTTTTCAAACAATGCATTTTTCTGAATAATGTGATGTAATTTTGGGTTTAAAACTGTACACTGCAGGAAAATGTGCTCTTGGTACTTATTATTAGATACCTATAAAATTTATCCCAAATGATTTGTACATCTTCATTTACTCTTTTCTTTATATCTTACATTCCATCACAATTAGTGATTTGCACATTTATCACGATGCAAGAAAAGAGAAGTAGGATTAGAATGTTCTTATCTTTCGTTCAAAGCACACTTGTAGAACATTTTCAAGTTCATGGTTGCCTGTGGCTTATGAGCACTGTGCCAAGGACTGGACACAAAAAATGACTGATTCCAAAATAAAGAAGTGGGTGGAGGCAGGACAAAAATCTGTTTCACTTTGCATCCACTCCTCATTTAGAAACTATCTAGATTAGCAACCATTTGCAAATGCAGCAATAATGAAAAATAGATTTTGCAACCAATGTGTGCACTTATGATCCAGTTTTGTGTGTTTGACAACAATGTATGCTGTAGTGAAAGCAACACTGGCATAATTGTACTAGAAAACTGTATCTGAATGAGACAGCAGCAACCAGGGATCTTCACAGTGATTCTCTCCCCTCTCAGTCATGAGTTCACTTAGTGACCATTTCACTTAATGAACTAATTGTGAGGATGGAACAGTTGCTAAATGAGGAGTGGGTGTAATCTAAATGAAATTGACATGAATATAGTTTATCATGCATGGTGTAATTTTCCCTTTCTGTCATATTAAAATTAACAATTTGACAGCAACATTTTATGGTTTTTAAACAAACTTTGGATTTTCATGCTGCACACTCTGCTTTAGACCTTCCTTGTATTACTACTATTACTATTACTACGACTACGACAACGACAATGATGATGCCTTGATTACAAAAAAATAAGCATTACCTGATTCAGAACCAGAACAGATGTGATGGTGTATTTCAAGATGTCCTATTGGAAGAATAATTCATGGTCATTTTACTTCCATTTGTTTATACAAACACATTGCATTTTCTTTTGGAAAATCCATAATAAAATGCAAAATGGAATTGAATGGAATGGAACAGAATGGAATGGAATAATTTTCAAAGACTAAGGTTCCAAAAAGGAAAAAAAAGCTATTTTTTTTAAAAAAAATTGTCTAAGGTACTGGGTTGTTCAGATACGATTTTTATTCTGCCAGCAGACGGTCTTATTTATTGACAATGTGTGTGAGCCAGTTCATCGCCTATCTAGCTGCTTCCTTCCCTCAGCACCTGCTCAAAGCAAGAAAAGCCATTTTCCTTTGAAATCAATGAAATTACTGGCATTATTAGGTTTTGGGGAACCTCAGCTGCACTTCTGTAGCTAATATACAGTATGTGTTCAAGTTGTTCATTTATATTTCTTCCAAACATATTCCTTGCCACCAATTCTCACAGGTCATCTCTCACTATGAAAGCAATATTGCAAAATGTAAGGAATACAGGAAGAGAAATGGCATTAACTTATCTCTTTGTAGAGTGGGATGAAGGGCTTATTGTGACTTCACAGCTGAGGGAGCAGAGAAACTCCAGGGAACTGGGTACAAAATGTAAACTCAATACCTACCAGCCAGCTTGAAGGCAGTAAAGCCTTCCATTGATGATTTATTTATGCTCTTTACAAGTTATAATATTGACATCACCAAGTTAATTGGGCTAAGATCAATAAGGTATTACATGGATGAGATTTAGGAAATCAATGAACTATTAATCTCTCATAATGCTTTAGCTGTCAGAGAGAGAGAGAATGAGAGATACAGACACACAGAGACATACACACACAGAGACAGATATACAGAGAGAGGGGGGAGGGAGAGAGAGGGAGAGATGCAGACAAAACACTCTTTAATTCCCCATTAGAACTAGGAGCAATTAAAACCCATAGTAATCTTGCCCCTATTTCTTTTGGAGCAGAGTGCTTAGTTAATGACAATTTACAAACATTTAAATTTTATGATACATACCATATTTAGCACATTGGACATTATCACTGTGATATTCACTAGAAGGGGGCCATTTCCATTTCTGTGGGTCTGATATACAGCATTTGTACCAAATAGTGATTTAAATAGTTTTTCTTCCAAAGAGGCAGAGGAATCTTGCCAGGTTATTTGAATTGAGGCTGCTAGAAGCAAAGCACAAAGTGTCCATTTTAGATCAAAGGTCCACACAGTATACTGCAATTCAAACCAACACCAACAGTTGTGTTGAAACTGAGAAAGACTTTCATCTTTAGTTCTCATTAAATCCCATCTCTAAACCAAGTATGGTGGAGGATGATGGTCACCTTAGTACCTAAATAAAATTCAAGAGTCAGTTTGGTCTAGTGGTTAATGCATCAGGCTAGAAACCAAGATACTGTGAATTCTATTCCTACCTCAGGTATGACAGTCATCTAGATCAGGGGTCCTCAATCCCCAGGCTATGGACCAGTCCCAGTCCAGGGCCTTTTAGGAATCAGGCCGCACAGCTGGAGATGAACCGGGGGCAAGTGAGCGAAACCGAAATCACCCCCCCCCCCGGTCAATGGAAAAATGGTCTACTATGAAACTGATCCCTGGTGCCAAAAGGTTGAGGACTGCTGATCTAGGTAACTTTGGGCCACTCTCTCTCAGCCCAACCTACCACACAGTATTGTTGCTGTGGGGAAAACAGGGAAGAGGGAGGAGAATTAAGTATGACTGCCACCTTGAGTTAATTATAAAATTAAAAAGGCAGTAATAAACAAACATTCTGGTCAACTGCTACAAAGGAGGGTAAGGCATGTGAGTTCTTTCTCTCTACCTTGATTATCAGAATCATCTGTGACATCAAATGAACTATGTTTAGGATCCAGTAGTAGAGGTTTCATTCTCATCAGAGATATTCTTTTTCCCCCCCTTGACCTCATTAATTTTTCATCAAGAGAAAGAATAAATGCTTTTTCCAGTTCTTCAAACCATAAGTAATTGTATGCACAACTTTGAGGTTTCTGTAGAATCTCATCCACATTTCCTTTTGCTTGCATGTAAGGATAGCTATTCTCTAGGCCCAAATGAGATCATTTTATTGTCCATTCCAAGCTTAAATTTTGCAGATGCCTATAAGCTATATAAATGGAAAAGAAATCCAACACCTATTAATCTGAACATATTCTCAAAATAAGGAAAGATATAGCCTACCTAGCAACAGGAAAAGATAGGTCATGTTGATTCTTGCTCCCTTCATTTCTTTTTGCCAGGAGAACAGGCTTTAATGTAATTCCAGATCTTGATGTAAAAATGTTACTGATTTCATTCAGGATTATGAGAATTGTATTCCAGTACACCTTGAAAGCACCAGGTTAGGAATGGATGTTGTAAAATTAGTATGAATTCACAGATCTTTTAGGAAATTTGGGTTATCCTTCTCTATGGCATTCCTAGCATGTAAAGGCATGCTATACATAATAAACATAATAATATGATTATAATATCCATATTATACCCGTATGTGCAATTGGCCTAAGATAATCTTGCAAATTGATTTTTACTGATGGTAGAAAATAAGTATATTGCTAAATGTACTAGTAATATGGAGATTCACAGATTAGTGTTACAATTTATTCTGTTCTTTTTGGTAAGGCGGTGATAATCTAATAATTGCCTTTCTACTAAAAAAGTTTCATTTCATATTACATGACCAGTTTTAAATCTTAAATTAGTAATACAAAATAGTATCTGAAGAAGAATGAAATACTTAAAAAGTATCCAGTAAATCATCAGGAATGCTTATAACAAAAAATAATTTAGCAGTCAAATAAAGCACCTAATAATTAGTTACAAACGTCTGTGAAAAAATTTTAAAAAAAGGAAAGAAAACATGAATAAAACATAGATGTTGTATCAATACATTGGAAAGCACAGCAAACAACCATAGAATTTTCTCTTCTACTTTCTCTATAAAATAAAACTTGAGATATAAACAATCTCATAAGAATATAATGTAATCAAATGCTTAATCTGTTTCAAGCCTTTCTACCCATAGCAAAAGGCACTTCCTAAGTAAATGTGGAAAACATTTCAAATTTGAACCATTTTACATAAAAATACACAGGTATTTTTTAAAATCTATTTTCACATTGCAAAGTACTTTCCCCACACCACCCTCTAGATAGGTATTTGTTATTTATATTTGTTTTTTAGTTATTAACTTCTCATGGACCATCCTTGGGCCCAGTACAACCATCTGTCATTTGGACAGGCTATCAATCAATCAGAATAGAGCTTGAAGGGACCTTGGAGGTCTTCTAGTCCAACCCCCCTGCTCAAGCAGAAGACTCTATACCATTTCAGATAGGTGGCTGTCCAGTCTTTTCTTAAAAACTTCCAGTGAAGCACCCGCAACTTCTGAAGGCAAGCTGTTCCATTGGTTAATTGTTCTCACTGTTAGGAAGTTTCTCCTTAATTTCAGGCCCCTGCACAGCCTTTATGCTCAATTTTTGTAACTTTTTGTTGCCTTGTTATACGGGCAGCAAAAGCTGTCGCATTTTGTACATGTGGAATTTCACACTAGGAGCCACCAAAGATAACTTGGAATCAATATTGACTGACCAACCATACCTGGAAAAGATGCCACTATTCAGTGTGGAGAGATGGGTAGCTAACAGTTGAATGAAGAGACATCGAGAAAATTATCTATATAGTCTGGTAGGAGTGCCCTTTCAAGGGTGGATTCCAAATCTGTCCAATACCCTGGTTGTTTTTTTATACCAACAGCTGCCACATTGATTATTTATTATGAAAAAGACAATGGATGAATCCATGTTTGTTTACTGCAACACCCCCCTCATGATTTGAATTCTCAGCAACACTAACCAAATAAGCCTCAGGTTATTGTTTTTTAAATGATGTCCTATATTTCATTCTCTGTTATTGCTCATATACTGTATATAGGCTATATAAAGAATTCTTTAATTAAAATAACTTGTTTAGTCAAAGCAAAAGGATTCTAGTGAGAAGTAACTGGACCATCAAAATACTTAATCGGTTTGTTTCTTTTTTTTAATGTACAATATTTGTAACCGTTTTTCAAAAAGTCAAAGTAATTCAAAATCAAACAAATCTAACACTCATAAATATTAATAATAGCAACAAAAGCAACAGCAGCATTATAACACAGGATGAAGACCCAGAACTAGCAAATTCTTTCTAAGAAAATAATTTCCATTTAGGAAAGCTGTTGACACCTGTTATTCTGATTAATCACAGGATTGTTCTTTTAAACAGAAGACTACTATGTTTACATTTACTGTGCTAAGCTATATTTGTATCTCCAGGTTTACTTCCAAAAAGTTCAAGGCAGTAAATATAATTCTCACCCACCCATTTTCATAACAACCCTTTGATTTTGCATAATCTGAAATTAATGGTCCTAAAATCACCAAAGGAATAATATGGATGAAGGCAGAACTGAACTTAATATTTCCCTATTCTGGTCTGATATTCTAAAAACTATCATATATTGGCTTTGCACACAGTCCAGATCATCTCAGCCTTGACTCGTGATGTCCAAACTCGAGTACAGGGAATGTGTCCTGCAAAGGGCTTAGTACAAGCGAAGCACTAATAAGTGAGTAGCGCTCATGATATTGAATATAACTCAAAGATGTGGTACTGTGTCTCATGTCACTGGGAAATAATTGGCAGGATATTCTGCTGCTTTCTTTGTCGTACGAGGCCAATGATACTATGCAGTCTAAATGGAACAAATTTCACTGCAAGCTGGCCTACTGTTATTTAGGTCTGGACACTTAAAAGAAAGAATGCTTCCAAATAACCTATGATGCTATTATATTTCTCACTGTTCAAGGTTTCATCAGATCCCTTTCTAATTATTTAGGAGAGATACAAAGCAGAGTTCCTGTATTTGTATGAAATCATCACTTGCAAGCAGGAAAACATCTAAATCACGGGTGTCAAACTTGCCATGTCACGTGACATGTCGCGACGTATCGTGACTTTTTTTGCATTGTGGGCATGGCCTCCGTATGATGCAACCGGCCCGAGGGCTGGCAGTTTGACACCCCTGATCTAAATAGTTTGCCTTCTCCAAAGAAGTCCTTTCTGGCTTTCTCCGTGATAATACTATCAATTGATATGTCTGTTCGTGGCCTGTTTTTTTATTAACAACATGAAAAACGTTTACAGTAGTTTACTTGGGTTGCTATATTATATTTTGGGAAATACGGTGGCATACTTGCTAGTTGGGCAAATTTTCATGGTAAAGTCATATGTGGACATTTAAATTAGAAATAATTTCATAATTGCCTGCATTTCAGCTTGGGAAGGGTGTAAAGCAAATGTCTTTAATATTTAGAGGTGCAATCTTTGAAAACCCAGCCCAAATAATATTTCACTGCATAATTAGTGCTGGAATTATAGCCATTCTCTGTGAGACTTCTATTTCTCCTGCGGTCATTACTACTTAGAGCTAATTTAGTTCTCTGCACTCATCATGAACAAATGGAATTAAGATCAAAGGTGGAAGCAGGAGTTCATCAATTTGCAGGACTGGCAATTATATTTATGTTCCCAAACACTATGTTGATCTTCCTGAATGCAACCTCTTTGTATGCTTGATAGCAACCTTTCTTTATGGAATATGAAATAGAATGCATTGATGAAGTGAATAATTGTTTCATTGCAAGGATGGGCATTCTACAAATATAGGTATATAAAGAAACTATAAGACTTATTTTCTTTTTGTCGAAACTCCCCCCTCCCCCCTGTCTGTTTCTCAGTCCTTTTACAAATACTTTTGCTAGAATTGATTAGCTGGACAAACAAGAGAACAATCTGTGCAGGAAGAGCAGAAAGTTCCTTGGATAGCTCATTTTCTGATTAAACAAGATCTAAACTTTATAGAAAAGGACTCCCTTGATGGGGCAAAATATAGGGAGATACAGCTCGCCATGTTAAGGGCAATACAATTGTTGAAGAACCGTCCGTAAATCATTCTGATGTTGTTATCCACAGTGAGGGCTTGGCATTGATTGGAAACACTCGTCAGGAAATGACCTGGGATGGACATTTACTTAGAAGCCATGTGCAATGCAATTTCCCTTATTTTATCATCATGTGTCTGCCATAGAGAAGGGAGGCTTTTAATCTAAACAACCAAATTATTGAGAATCTTTCTTTCTTCCAAGAAGAAATAATTTTTCCCCTGAATATACATTTAATTATAGGTCTTTGTGACTTGAAATTTAACGAAGGTTAGGATTTGATAAGACTCAAAACAGTCAACATATATCCATTAAAGGTCACTAGTTTTTAAAAATTAATCATTAGCATTGTGTTAATTTCCTTTCCCCCCCTATTACCTTAGTTATTCTTAGCCCAATTTTGAATAATGTTATTACCACCACACACACAAAAAAAAATAAAGCAAAAAATAAAAAATCAGACTCCTGTGTTATACAGATGTCTTGGTAGCAACAGATCCAAACTGGGTCCTTGACTCACAAACAAGCAATTACAAATTGCTCCATTACCTCTAGGATATGCCCAAGGTACTCCTTGGGATAATTACCACCACTTTGACATCTACTGTCTTACCTCCTGCCTTTTACTTATTACTTTACTAGCTGTACCCAGCCACGCGTTGCTGTAGCTCAGTCTGGTAAAAGCGTGTGTTGCTTTTATGTCCAACAGATGGCGCTGTTTTTCAAAAAAAGCATGTTTTACCTGTCACAGGTGTGATATCTATATAATATAGGTATATATAAACACGCGCGTATTCGAATGCAACATTGTGTCAAAATTTTAAAGCAATCAGTGAAGAACTTTCGGAGATTTAAGATTTTGAACAAACGAACATTTACATTTTTAT